TTAAACGAATATGTTGTTTTACTATGTAGGTCCAAAAGAAACTTAACCCCCCTCCTCCGCCCCCGCGCCACGGTGAATTGTTTATACCTTTGTGGGATATGTTTGACTGTGATGTGCTTACGCCCCACACTGAAACTGCAGCCACAGGCATAGCGTTAAGAAATACAGACTTCATGGAGCAAGCATTTGAGTGCCAGTCAGTATGGTCACCTAATCGTCTGCTTTAAGTCTATCTGAATTTTCTGACTTAAGGAAGTAGTAGGAAGTCAGGCTTGGGAGAAGCTGATAGCTCTTGCTATCCATCAGAATGAAATGCCAAGGAAATAGCAAAGATGCTGTGAGAGGATATAGAGATCTTCTGACTGGAGAGCTTAAGAATGGCCTTTGGAGGGTTATTTGAGCTGGCACTTTCCACTACTGCCTACCTTGGTAGCTGGGAGGAGATGTTTCTGTTTGTTGCAGTCTACATTTGGCTCCTGACCTGAAGTTCCACAAGTTAACTTCTGAGTGAATTTACTCGCAACAGTAGCCTGTTAAAAGGCCTATAAAATATCCTTGGGAAATAATTTTCACTTGGTTGTACTTGTGTACTTTATATCTAGTTTCCATTAGTTAATAGGCTGTGTTGAAGATGTCTTCTGCCTGGTTGATTTTCCACGCCTATGCTTTCTGTGTTTTAACAAAAATGATAACTAATAGAATGTAGTAATTTGCAGATTACAGAATGCTTTTGTATGCATTTTATTATTTCATTTAACCACTCTCACCAGTGCTATGAGAAAGGTAGGGCTGGTTTCCCCATTTTTCAGGTAAGGAAACTAAGGCATAGCGTCTCCAGCATTTGAACCTCTGTTGCTAGCATTTGTGTCTTCAGTTAAGTTACATCCAAAAACTCAGTTGAACTCCTGCATAACAGCAGACACTTTTGGTGAATTTTTCCCTCCTATACTGGTTAGCTGTATTCTAGAATTAAATCGAATAACAAAAGGTTAACGATTTGTAAATAGACATTTTCTTTTGTCTACTATGGAGACAAAAAGGCGCAGCTGGTTGACGCCCTGAGTACTGTATTCAGACTAAGTTCTAATCCAGGTCTTCTGCTTAACTAATTCTATACAAGTTACTTAACTTATACAAGTTACCTAACGTCGCTAAGGGCAGTTTCCTTTCTGTACAGTGGGAATAATAATAGTATTAGGGCTCCTCTGGTGGCTCAGACAGTAAAGAATCCACCTGCAATGCGGGAGACCCGGGTTCAGTCCCTGGGTTGCAAAGATCCGCTGGAGGAGGGCATAACAACCAGTACTCTTGCCTGGAGACTCTCCATGGACAGAGGAGCATGGCAGGCTGCAGTCCATGGGGTCGCAGAGTCGGCCATGGCTGAGTGACTAAACACATACTCGCAAAGAGTCGGCCATGGCTGAGTGACTAAACACATACATACATAGCGTGTATCTTGACACTTATCATTTAAGAAATGTTAACCTTTGTTACGGGCACTGAGGCAGACAGACCCTCAAAAATGAGGAAACCAACCTTTTCAGTCACTGCTCTTCCCAGTTGCTTCCTGAGGCCAGTACACTCACTTGATGAAGATGTACATTTCCAGAAGAGGAGGACCTGTTTGCTCTGGAAATTGCCACAGTACATCCATTGATTTTTGCTGTCCATATTCCTGTTGCCTTTTGTGTAGTTAAAGCAAATCTGATCTGCTTGTGCTACTCAGCCTCCCCGCCCCCAACACCTGTATTTATGGGGTGCTGGAGACAGCCTTCCGTCTCCCTGACACCCACATTTCTGGCTACCTCTGGCGTCTGCCTTCAAGTCCTTCCTGGCTAGGCCTCATCTTTTGCTGCTCTGGCCATTTGTCCCTTACAGAGTTAACAAGTCTTCATTTTTTATTTTTCAACAGAATTAGGGACCATTATCCCTGAAGAGTTACTGTTAAAAAAAAAAAAAGATGCATATTACTTAAGGAAAATGGGTGGGAGAGACTTTGAATTTGAAGAGATAAGATAGTTGCTGCTTGGAATGAGGGTGAAGGTGAGGAAGAATGGCAGGGAGCAGTAGTCGAGATAGCCCAAATATGTATGTGGTTAATTCTTTGCCTTTTCAATACACATGTACTTAAAATTGAAAAGTTTGACCATTTTGTATTTGCCACCCCCAGCTCTACCTTAGTCTTAAAGCTGGATTATCTCTGTTCAGTGTTTAGCAACCTTGCCAATATTGTGAGTAAGAGCTCTGTGTGACCTGGAGAAGTGAAGTACACCATGTGGGACAATTCATATCTAACACTTTCTGGCCTATTCTGCTTTAATTTTTTCCCGTACCTTGGGCTAGTAGGCCAGCAAGCTGAAATGATCCAGCCCAGGATATGTTAAGTGATATTTTGGTACTGCTACCAGAATTCTACAGACCAGTTTATCTCTAGATAATTCCAGGCTTTTATCTCTTCAATTAGGATTCAAGCTGTGAAAAGAAATTGTTGCACGTGATAGTTTTATTGACCAACTCTGCGTTTTGCCATGAGTGACAGCCAGATGTGGACCGCAGTTGGTTTTAATCAAAGGACAAAGGAGTTTCTTGAGAGAAGTGGCAAGCGACTAGACTTCTGATACCCTTTAACAGTGACATAGCATATCCAATTATTTCTCACTTGAGTATGAATCCAGATTCGGGCACCACCCTTCAAGATAAATATACATCAACTGAAGTATTTGAAATCAGCTGGAAAGGATTTGAAATTGAGGTTGGAATATAGATGGAACAGAATAGTGTTGGAGTGAACAGACATGAGAGCAAATCATTAAATAATTAAAAATATTTTCATTTGGAAGGAAATCAAACTTTTTGTAGCTCTACTATATTAACATTTATACTTAATATAAATGGAAATTTTCTGGCTGAAATAAGCAGAAATGAAATTAGCTTTCTTACGATGTGTCCAGTAGTAGGCTAGATTGTTTTCCACTGGGAATACTATGGGAAAGAACCCTTCTTTCAGGGAGGACTTCTTGCTTTGCTTTCTACGCGTATCGTTGATTTAAAAGGTTGCCAACATAGGGCTAGAGGTAACACCTTAGCAACCTAGCATTCTAACTCTTGGTGACTGAATTCTTTAATCAGTGCTCATCAGGGACGCTCGATTGGCCAGCGAGCCATCCTCCTTAGTACATTGAGTCCATGGTTGAGTCCTGATTGTCCCTCAGTTCCCAAGAGTGGATTTAAGAACCAGCCTTGTACATAATCATCCCAAGTAGTTTGCATTGAAAAAAGCCATGTGGAGTATAAGTTCTGCTTTTTCTTCCTTAACTAGATTAAAATAAGCTTCAAGAATGCAGACACTTCCAGAAAAGTATAGCAATATTGTGTTTTCACATAGAGTATAATAAAAATTAATTCAAAAAAGTGTTGATATATTCTAGTAATTTTCAAGTTTGGCATATAATAGCTGGCATATAATTTACTTCACAAATATGATTCCAGTTTATCCTTAAAGCCTTCTGGATAGGGATAAAGGTTGGAAAGGGGAGGTGTATTATCTTTCTTTCTAACCCAGACCGAAGTGGAGACCCAGACCAATAGGCATTACGTAGCTTAGTTCTCAGGATCACACAGTTTTAAACTTCTAGTCCTAAATTCTGGCGCAGAGCCAAAGATTTCTTGCAACATAGCAAGAGCAATCCAGGAATTTTGTTTTTTAAAATTGCCAAATTTGTAAGGTTGAGAAGGTAGGCTCTTCCTACAGTCATTTATCCCTCAGCTTTGTTCTTCAGTCTTTCTGTAATAGGTCTCCTCTAGTGAAACCCATCGGAGAAGGCAGTGGCACCCCACTCCAGTACTCTTGCCTGAGAAATCCCATGGACAGAGGAGCCTGGTAGGCTACAGTCCATAGGATCACTAAGAGTTGGACACGACTTAGCAACTTCACTTCCACTTTTCACTTTCATGCACTGGAGAAGGAAATGGCAACCCACTCCAGTATTCTTGCCTGGAGAATCCCAGGGACAGGAGCCTGGTGGGCTGCCGTCTATGGTGTCGCACAGAGTCGGACACGACTGACGTGACTTAGCAGCAGCAGTGAAACCCATGAAGTTTCGATATTGGTGCAAGAGAAGGGAAAAGAAAAGTTAGCTCTAGTCTCAGGTAAAGGTGACTGAAGAGCAGAGAAATTGATTTTAAATGTATTTGCCAGACCAGTTGGTAAAGTTTATTTACAGCCTTTTCCCTTGCATCACCTCCATCAATATGGTATCTCTTTTCTGCAATCCTTCCTGATCCCAGTGTCTCGATTCTTTCAGGTGTGTTTTGTCTATTTCTTATTCCCTGATTATTATTTACTAGCTCTCAGGAAGAAAGAACTATTTCTTAATTGAAAGAGCACTCAATTTGCATGTTTAATGGTAGTTGAATGCTGGCTCTGCCACTTAGAACACGTATCATTATTTCCTTGAGTCTCAGTTTCCACTGGCTGCAAATTAATTTGATACTATTAACCCCATTAGATTGTTAGGGAAATTCATGTACATTTCCCAGACCAGCAGTTCTCAATAGGATGGGAGTGCATTTCGTTCCACTGAGACATTTAGCATTGTCCAGAGACATTTCTGATTGTCTTCAGAGCGGTGCTACTCACATCTAGTAGACAGAGCCTCAGGGTGCTGCTAGCTAAACATTCTATAATATATAGGACAGCCTTCTACAACACAAAACTTTTTGTTCCAAAATGTCAGTAGTGCCAAAATGGACAAACCCTGCCCTAGACCAATGTGTAACTCCTGTTAGGAAAGTCTAGGATAGATTTTGGCTTCTCCAGTGGCTCAGACAGTGAAGAATCTGCCTGCAGTGCAGAAGACCTGGGTTCAGTCTGTGGGTTGGGAATATCACCTGGACGAGGGAATGGCAACCCACTCCAGTATTCTTACCTGGAGAACTACAGGGACAGGGAGCCTTGTGGACCACAGTCCATGGAGTCACAGAGTCAGACACAACCGAGTGACTGAGCGCAGGATGGACAGTAATGGACAGCACCTTTAGGCAGGACTCCTTCCAGATGTTTGCTTCTTAAGAAAGGGATTTTGGTGGTAAAGTCTCTCAAAAACTGAAACGTCTTCAGATAAAAGACACTACACAGTAGAATTATGTATTATTGGGCTAATATTTCTTGTACCTAGGACTGCCTCCTCAGGTCCATTCCAGTGAGAGAAGAGCCCTCTTTTCACACCTTCCTTCATCTTCTCTTTCTCCTTTTCCTCCTCCTCACCAGCTTCACTGGGCATCACCCTGGGATATCACTTCAGCATGCTTACTCCAGATGAGTTTGGAATTGTATATGCCACTTATCTTTGCCATTGTTGTCTAGCATGTTTTTTTCATAAGAGTGCTTACTATGTTAATGCTGCCGATCTCATTTGAGAGTAAATAGGATAAAAAGTCTAATAACATAGGCAAATTATGACTATTTCGTATCTTGAGAAGATCTTATTAAAGAAAATAATTTGTGTGTGTTTTGCTATTATATATAGCAGGATCTGAGTAGAGGAGATGGGTAGACAGGAGTTGAGGGAGGGCTACATTCTTTGTATTTTGTTTTTATAGTTTATGGTCAAATAAATAACAAGTAATTTGTTCTAGTAGTTCTTTCTCATTTATTGGTTCCTGTTCTCCTATTTTAAACCATTGTCTAGAAATCTTCATCTGATAAGTACATGATCCAAAGAAATGAATTAGTCAGCTGTTTCAAAATCCAACACAATGGTGGTGATAATACCAGGTATTGACAGTGGAAACGATTCTCCTTTGGGTGACATTGCCAGCGGCTTTCAGCTGACAGAGCCAAGTAGTCTGCCTGCGGTTGTTCTTCTGTATCATTTTGGCAAATTAAATGGAAAGGTTAAACTTTCACTTTTTCAAAACTTGGCAGTGGCTGTTGACCTTTTGCTTCTTGAGATGCTTTTAGGAGTATTATCTCAGCCTTTCATTTTAATACATCGAAATTCACTTAAATTAATATTAGAGTGTACGTTGTATAAGTTGTTGGTGGTGGACACAAAGATGAGCAGGACAGTGCCCCTGCCCCCAGAGAGCCTAAAATCTAATATGGAAAGCAGGATATAAACAATTTTTCAAGTCCAGTGAACATTAAATCAGTGCATAAGAAATGCCCTTATGAGAATTCGATAAGGATCCAATTAATTCTAAAAAAAGATTAGTGAAGGACTCACAGAGGAGGTAAACTTTGATCTTCATCTCAAAAGACGGGAAGGATTTTATTTTGATTGGGTAAGTTGCAGGCCAGCAGAACATATCAAGCTAAATAATGAGAGCCCAGTAAATAATAAGTCTCTGTTCTTCATATTCTTTTTGATGAATATCAGGTGTATATCTGTGTGGTTGAAGTATTGGTTTTGTCCAGTATTGAAATGGATCAAAAGAAATGGCCATTTAAGAAGCAGATTGCATTATTCTTTGGATGCTGTACTCAAAACTGTGAGTAGGGGGAAAAAGTTGTTTTGCAGGAAAGCAGTGCTCTGTATTGTAGCTGGGTGGGCTCTGGCATCAGTATGAAAGGTGGACAGAAGTGAACATGTGGCAGCAAGGATGCTTGGAGGAGCTCATTGCAGTACTTGAAGTAAGAGAAGGGAAACCTGAACTCATTGAGTTGAAGATGGAAAAAGAAGGGATAGATGGTAAGTAAAAGAACATTTAGTGGTAGATTTGCCACATTTTGACTATTTGGGGATATACTTTATTTCCCCACATTATACCATCTCTGGAGTCTGGTTGTATTTTATAAGCCGTGGCATCTTACAGGGCTTCCTTTGTGGCTCAGCTGGTAAAGAATCCGTCTTCGATGCGGGAGACCTGGGTTTGATCCCTGTGTTGGGAAGATCTCCTGGAGAAGGGACAGGCTGCCCACTCAAGTATCTTACATTTTTCATCCTTTTTTCCTGGTGATACGTAAGATATGGATATATCTTAAAATCCCTGGCTTTTTAGACTGATACATGATACCAGAATTTGGTGCCAGATTGGATGGTGAAGGTGAGTAAAAAGGGTGAGTCAGAGACAGCTCTGAGTGTTCTAGACCAAGGGGTGAGCTGGAGATGCTATTAACTTAGACAGGACGGAGTACAGGAGCGGGGTGAGTGTGTGGAGGCTGGGCTCGTCTTTGGCACACTGTGGTCGGGCAGCTTTAAGATCCCTACCTGGAGTTGGCTTCTGGGCATGTGACTGTAGTCCTTGTCTCCCTCCCCCCACCCTTGTTTCTTTTCTTTGCCTTTTCTTTCTTTTCTCTTGAGGAATTGCTAAGTGGAAGTCTCGGTGCTTATATCTTTATATTATTAAATCTTGAACAACAGCTGAATGAAAAGTGTACTAGGTTAAATCATATATTTCAGAACAGGAAACTGATGCCATTGTTTAACTAACGGGCTAATCCAAAGTCAAACAGCTCAATTAAGTAGTAGAGCTGGAGGCGGCCCCAGGTTTCTTTTGAAGCCTAAGCTCTGCCACTTACTGAGATCCAGTTACAGAGGCTTCTCAGGAACTATTACCATAGAAAAGATGGTAACACTGTGTAATACATGAGATTGAGAGCAGATAGAACTTTGTCAGGTAAGATGTCCCAGGACAAGACTTTAGGGCAAGCAGCTGGACCACCTCCTGTAATTTGATTGTGAGCATCTCACTTTCCGCTCCTCTTCTCATCACACCGACTCCTCCAGTGTTACTTCAGCCTTTTCATGTCATCGTTGACACTCACAGACTCAACAGTGTTTGACCATCCTGCTCCATACGTGACTCTAGTAAATGTACTTTCTTACCGTTCAAAATAATTGCTTTAATCTATTTTCTCCAGTTGATATTCCTCCCTGCTTCCCACTTGCAGCTGGTAATCTCACCTCCTATTTGATGACAAAGTATAAGTAGTTGAGTTCTCTCATCTTTCCATCAACAGATCTTCCGTCCTCTTTGTGTTTGTTCTTATAGCCTTGGTCTTTCTTCCCTTTTGTTAAATTGAAAGATAGCTCCTCACTCCATATGAGCCACAATCTCGCTGCTTGTGCTTTGGATCTCATTCCCCTCTTGACTGCTTGGCAACGTTGCTATCTGTGGCTCTGATCCCTCCCTGTCTTCCTCCATCATTAACTAATACCTGCTTTTTTTACTGTACCATCTGCATTATCATTCCTTTCCGTGGCCACATTTCGTCCTCTCTCCTTTACAGCAAAACATGAAAGATGACCTGCCTGTAGTCTCTGTCTTCTTCACTTTTCCTTGTCTTGCACTCTCGAATCAAGTTTCCATCCCCACTATTCACTGGAAACAGTGCTTGTCAATTACAGACCACAGTGACTTCCATGCAGTTAAATCCTGTGGTCACTTCTCTGTCCTCATCAAATTCAGTCTCTCTTCAACATTTGACATGCGTGACCACTCTTGACAAACTTCCTTGTGTGACACCATGTTTTCCTGTCCTCCATCACAGGCCCCTCCTCCTCATTTCCCTTTTCCAGTTGCTCCTCCCCTTCCTCTGTGTGCTGGAATGTATACTGTTCTGCCCATGCAGGGGATCTTCTCCAGTGCTGTGCCTTTAAATGCCATCTTTTATGCCAGTGATCCTCAGACCTTGCCTTGTCCATTTAAAAGCCAGGTTGGTATCACAAACTTAACAGACCAAAGCAGAATTCTTGATTTCCACCATGTGTGAGGCCTTCTTTTTTGCAGTGAAAGTTGCTCAGTTGTGTCTTGACTCTTTGCGACCCATGGTCTGTAGCCTGTTAGGCTCCTCTGTCCATGGAATTCTCCAGGCCAGAATACTGGGTAGCTGTTCCCTTCTCCAGGGGATCTTCCCAATCCAGGGATTGAACCGAAGTCTCCCACACTGCAGGCGGATTCTTCACCAGCTGAGCCACCAGGGAAGCCCAGGAACACTGGAGTGGGTAGCCTGTCCCTTCTCCAGGGGATCTTCCCAACCCAGGAATCAAACCAGGGTCTCCTGCATTGCAGATGGATTCTTTACCAGCTGAGCTACCAGGGAAGTTTTTAGTTTGGGGAGATATTTAATCTTTGTTATGAGAGCATTTACTTAGAAAATACCAATTAGAAAATGCCATCTAATATGGAGTGGAAGAGTGTTTTGAATCCCCTTAATATGCACAGTTTTATGTTTTCACCTTTGACTTTCATCCATTTTCAGATGAGTTAATGACTAAAAACAGAAATAAACTCACTGCCCTAAAAGTCCAAGGAGATAACTGTTAACTAGCCATCTTAATTTGGGGGTACATATCCAGCCAGGAACCTTATAGGAACATGGAGTATGTGTGTGTGTCTGTGTGCCTGTATTTGGGGAAGCTACCCGATAGGCATACTAGCATCTTCCTGGTGCTTCCTTTGAGAATTTTTTGTTCTGAAAACATTTCCTGACTTAGGGATAAGATTAAAACACCCTTGAATGTGTTGTGGTCTGGACTTCAGAAACAGATGCATTTTTAGAAAAAACGAACCTTCAGAGAGAGTTCAGGTTTGTCTGCCTTTTGAGACTCTGACCAGGGGCACCTCCCAGATGAGGACTCACTCCGTGTTGTCGGTAGGAGCGCTTTGGAAGGAGTGCTGTGCTTCACGGTCTTACTTTGTTTGAAAGTCCCTCTGTCTGTCTGTGTTTAATCAGCCCTATCAAATCAGTTGAACTCAATGAATTAGAATTGGTATTTCTCCAAGAGGAAGTCTAAATCTGTGCAGAGTTATCTGCTTTGTTTAGTTTTCTTCTGTTAGTGTTCAGAATCACAGGAGCATCTGAATATTTGGAAAGCCAAACTAAACCCAGAGAGCTCTTTGTTTGCAGGGAGACTTAAAATGACTGCCTGCCTGGCCTGGATCGTTGTGCATTTGTGATTTCTTTGAGGGTTGGGACCCCTTTCAAATCAGTGGGCAAGATACTCAGTATCCTTCTGAGGCAAACAGCAGCATCAGCGTTTGTGAAAAGTGGTTTGTGGTGGTTCTGCCTGTCATTCTCCCCCTCATTCCACTTTCCCTTGATCTTCTAGTCCCCAATGCAGATGGACTCTACAGTGGTAGTGTGCTTATTATTAGAACAAAATATTGAAAATGGCTATAAAGTATTTTGAGTCCCACGGTAAAAATACCACATAAATAAAGTGAAACCCTAAGCGTTTCTGTGTCCTTTTCTATTTTTGTTTTATCTTGTTACACTTGTGCTGTTTGAAGAATATTCAGTCATTATTCCCTCTGGCAAGTTCCCCAATATGTGGAATTTTAAATACTGTCTTAATAGCAATTACTTTATTCAGCAAACCTTTAGAGTACCTGTTGTGTACTAGGCTGTCCCTAGGTACTAGGGATTCAGAAGTGAATGTGATGAAGGAAGTTATTGCTCTTCCGGAGTTTCCATTCTAAAAGGGGAGATAAGTACAGATTTATAAGAAATATGTAAAAAAATGTATAAAGTCAGGTAGAAAACTAAATCAGCTTCTTTCTTCTATTTTCTCTCTGATACAACAGCTACACACAGCCAAAACGAAACACATCGTTAACCCCAAGCAAGCCACCTGATCTCTTCACCTTGGTTTCCTTATTTGTAAAGTATATTTACTGTTTATCTTTCAGGATTAGAGAGAGAGGATATGCATGGAAAACTCATTGTGAAATATAAGACACTATAAATGTAAAGTATTTGTACTTGATTACATTGAGTCAAAGATTTATTTATTTGATGTCCGTCAGTATTTCTGTCAGCATTGTTTGCTATTTAGATTGTAAACCACTTGAGTGTATGTCATGTCTTTTAGGGTTGTTTTAACTTTTGTGCCTCTGGTTTTGAGGGCATTCTTGTAAGATGTCAGTGCTAAATTGTTGATTGCTATTGTTCTGTAATATAGTGGAATGAATTGAGGGAAGGATTTCAAGCATCATATGGATGACTGGGCTAAATAATCTTCAAAGAACCTTCTAGATCTGACATGTTATAATCCTTGACTAGAATAGTTGAAGAAAAATTATTGCCCCAGCCTTAATGGAACAAAATGCATTTTCTGTTTGGCAGTAAGTGTGATTTGGAACAAAATAAAACCATTTCTTAATGTATCAAAAGTTTCCATCTCTATGACCAGATATCTAAGCTAGTAACTGTTATACGTGTGTAAGAAACTGTGGTAGCAGAAGCAATGTTTTTATGAATATTAGATATGTCCTCTTAAAGCACCTACCGCTGTACTCTAGAGAAGCGATTTGTTTGCCCTAAGCTAAACCTGTTGAGATTCTGATTATGACTGTTGCCCTGTACTAAAAGTAGTGTTTCTTTTTTCAAAGGTACGCCAACCTGTCATATGCATCAACAACCATGTATTTTGTTCAGTTTGTATCGATTTGTGGTTGAAGAATAATAGCCAATGTCCAGCCTGCAGAGTCCCCATCACTCCTGAAAATCCTTGCAAAGAAATTATTGGTAAGGGTCTATTGTAAAAACACATAGAAACTGATTTAAAACAATGTTTAAATAGTGTCTGTTTGGAGAAAGACTGAAACAGACAACTTTTGGTGGTGTTATTTTGCCAGTATCATACTGGGTGGATTGATCATTTGGCATAATCTACATAAGTGGAGTAACTGAGGAGCATGAAGCACTGTGAGAAATCGCAAAGCCTTCTGGAACTTTGATTCTGGTAGAGGCTGTCCATGTGGATGAAGATTTAAAAAAAAAAAAATTTATTTATTTATTTGGGTGCACCAGTTCCTAACTTCAGCCAACAGCTTAAAAAGCAGACAAACAAAAAGGCCCACAGAGTTCAAACAAGCTAGTTCAGCTGGGAACATGGAGAAAGGGATTCATGAATCAGTGGCCTCTAAGATTTAAGGATAGATAAATTTTCAGTTGGTGGAGGTGAGAGAGGCCATTTCTTGTAGAGGGAGCAGCATTCACTGCAGTTGGGAAACAGGAAAGTCTAGTTGGGTCTGACTGTTGAAATAAGACTGAAAAGGTAAATTAAGACTTTAGCACAGAGCATCTTGAGTGACAGACTAAATCAGGGTGTTGCTGTATGGGTGAGAAGGGTAAGGTGGGCATAATCCAAAGTGTGTACTAGGAATATTACTCAGGTGATGATACATAGTTTGGGCGCCAAGGGAGAAACAGGGCATGAGTAGGTCAGACTCTTGCCCAGGTGAGGGAGAATGTGAATCTGGGTTAAGGGTATGAAAAAGAGCATTCAGTGCTACAGTCACATAGGTAAAGTGGGGTGGGGGGAAGGTGGCAGGGATAAAACTTGAGCTGGAAGATTCTTAGAAAATGAACCATTTAAAGAGATTTTATAGTGTTATTTCTTTTAGATTGTTAAAATGATTTTTGTTTCTGTTTTAGGAAAAATTGAAAGTGAATTGATGATAGCATGAATCATAGGGAAAAAACCTTTCATCTTTGTAATAGTCCCAAATTAGGGAAAATGGACGTATATAAAATTTTTACAATAGAAAGGAAGATATATATGCTAGAACGAAAGAACCACCATTGGAACTTTGAAACTAAACGATCTGAAAGTGAATCAGAGGTGGCTCCAAGGTTTCTCTCTTGGGTACCTGGGTGAAGTCTTATAAGGGAATATTTCTCTGCTGTTCTACAAACTGGAGTGTTAATCTCTCAGCCTCTACTTTTTTATTTGCACTGATCTTTACCGGGAGTCAGGTCTTTCCTTGCGGACTATGAGCTTTGTTGATTAAAATAATTTAAATGTTTTTTCCCAGCTTCTTTTCACATCCCTTCTTTCTTCATTCATTTGTGTCTAAGTGATATTTCATAATTTCTCTGAAGTAAAATGGTTCATCCTTCCTTGCATTTGGATGGAGTCCTGTGAAAAAGAACATTTGTAAATGCCTTTGTTATCATGATACTAAGAAGTACAAAGAAGGTAACCACAGAATAAGTGAAGAGCTCTCAGGAAGAATACATTTGAGTGTGTATATGTGAGTTATTGTGTGCATACAATTAATGCTGTGATTTATAATCCATCATAACTGGGTTGTTAGTCAGTGAAAAGACACATTCATCTTTTCAGTTGTGTTACTAGTAACTTTATATATTTGAATACATTAGTTAAATAATATATATTATAATATATAAAGATAATATATTTGATTATATATAGATAATATTGATTTATACAACAAATAATATTTTAATTATACAGCTTATTGGTTAGGTGTAATCAGTGATTTTATCATTAACAGTTGTCTGATATTCAAAATTTGCAATAGTCCAAATGAGTTAATAAAATATAGCCTTTGCCTTCATTGAGTTTAATAAGATACACAGGTAAGTAAACATAACATGATATTTTACTGAAGGTATTTCTGATGGTGTTACTTATTTTTTCTCAGAATTGAAGTATAGAAAAGGATGGCAGCACAAAGTGGATGTAAGAAAAAGGATAGGAATTAGGCTAGAGAACTACATAGAACAATAAGGAAAGGGTTCATTTTAATTTTCATTCTACCCAAATCAGAATGAAAGGTTAGATTTTTTTTTTTTTTTGGTCCCTGTAGGAGGAACAAGTGAAAGTGAGCCCATGCTAAGCCATACAGTCAGGAAGCATCTTCGGAAAACTAGACTTGAATTACTTCACAAAGAATATGAGGTAAATACTAAGTAAAATGTTAAATGATGACAGCATTGAATTCTAGGTAAAACTGAGCTATCAATCTGGACTTCTTAGAGTAAGTATCCAATGAAATGTCATGTTAAATGCCAGTTTAAAAATATCTTATTTGATGAATTCTTTTTTCCTTTCCTGTTTCAAATATGGAAACTTTTTCTTGCTTTTAATTTTAAATTTGTCCTCAACAGAAACATCATTTTTTTTGGTATATTTTATTTTATTTTCCATTTATTTTTATTAGTTGGAGGTTAATTACTTTACAATATTGTAGTGGGTTTTGTCATACATTGACATGAATCAGCCATGGATTTACATGTATTCCCCATCCCGATCCCCCCTCCCACCTCCCTCTGCACCCGATCTGTCTGGGTCTTCCCAGTACACCAGGCCCGAGCACTTGTCTCATGCATCCAACCTGGGCTGGTGATCTGTTTCACCCTAGATAATATACATGTTTTGATGCTGTTCTCTCGAGACATCCCACCCTCGCCTTCTCCCACAGAGTCCAAAAGTCTGTTCTGTACATCTGTGTCTCTTCTTCTGTTTTGCATATAGAGTTATCATTACCATCTTTCTAAATTCCATATATATGTGAGAAACATCATTTTTTAAGTTGCTCCATCAAGAAGTTGGGAGATAAAGGAAACTCTCATGTAGAAGTCATCAGTCTTCCAACCCCAAGAGGTGTTATGAATGCAAACAAGTACTATAACCTTCATTCTGTATTTGTTTCTACTTGTAAATTCACTGCTAATTATAAGTCTGATAAGTTCTGGTAAAGAAAATATACTTATGTCAGCTTCTAACAAAGAGATTTTGGTTTGAGATATGCTATTGCTTAATTCTTTTTTTTTTTGGCATGTTTTAAAAAACATTTTTTAAATGGCCCAGGTTCTCACCTCTTGCATTCTCAGTCTGAACTGAGCAGCCTGTCAACTTTTTTTTTGTAAATTCACAAAGCTTTGGAAGGAAAAGCAATAAATTATTATTTTCAAATGGAAAAAAAAAAAAGGAAGACCCAGAGGGATCGGGTGGAGAGGGAGGTGGGAGGGGGGACTGGGATGGGTAATACATGTAAATCCATGGCTAATTCATTTCAATGTATGACAAAAACTACTGTAATGATGTAAAGTAATTAGCCTCCAACTAATAAAAATAAATGGAAAAAAAAATAAAAAAATAAATAAATAAATGTTTGTTGAATTTTTAAAACATGTTTAAAATAATTAAGGTGTATATTTAAGGTGTACAACATGTTTTGATATACATATACGTGTTGAAGTGATGACTTCAGTCAAACTAATTAGCATAGCCATCCCCTCACATAGTTACTGTTTGTTGGGGGGGGGGGTGCTGGTGAGGGCACCTGGAATCTACTCATTAGTGTCCAGTAGATGTACAATATTATTACCTATAGTCATCATTGCTATATAGTAGGTCTCTAGACTGTCTCTAGCTGCAACTCTGTACCCCTTGAACCATCTCCCTATTTCTCCCACCTCCCCATTTCCCCCACCTTCTATGCTTGGTAACCACTATTTAAATCTGTTTTTATGTGTTTGACTCTCTTAGATTCCACATGTATGTGAGATCATGCAGTTGTTTTCTGCATATGATTTGACATGCAGATAATTTGACATGGTGATGGAATTTTTTCTAAATTAGCTTCATGCTAATGGATATACATACTTTTGAATAAACATTAAGTCCAGTTGTCATTTTATATTGACTAAATGGGGGATAATATTGCTCTCTTCCTTTGACACAAAATATCTTTAAATTACACTACGTAATTGGAAACCAGATCAGCTGCTTCAAAAATTTTTGAAATAGGGCATAGATAAATGACTGAATAAATGTTCATTCTTATGTGTTTTCTTGTTTATACTTATTTATTCATTAATTTATTCAAACAAGTAAAGCCCTTTTCTCATTTTATGATGCCATTTAACTCAAAACATATTGTAATTTAAAATAGTAAATAATTCTGTGTTAACTCTAAAATGTATTCTTATTCATGTAATGAATATTTATCACACTAGATACTAATCAAATTAATGGTTTAGGAGATTGCTGAAATGTTGAAGTTTATTTTCTGAGAACGGAATTCCTAACAATTTTAGTTTAAGGTTAAATATCCATTATAGATGAATAAATGGTATCACAGAAGAGAGTTATAGCCCCAAATGTTTTGTTGCTGGATTCACGGTGGTTCTACATGGGAAAACTAATATTTGAAATAGTCACAGTAGTAGTTTAAGAGCTAGAATGTAGAAGAGTTCAAAATTACAGGTATTATTCTGACATGGAAAGTGAAAGGACATGGTATATAGTTTTACTTCTATATGAAGCAAAAGAGAGACATCAGCCAAAACTGCAGATTTCCTTGATCAAAATGGTATTTTTAAATGCCCCTTAGTAAAGGAATTAAACATACCTCAGAATTTTCTTCTGAGTAATCTACTTCCTTGTTGAATTCATGTGACTTTTCATATTTTCTGAATATTTAAAATGGAATTAAAGATTTGATATTTTCATTTTTTTAATCATGAACGATCATTGAATTAAAAGCAATAGAGATGCCAATTTTTATCAGTCAGAATACATTTTGAGAATTTCAGCTGTATGTGACTTTCTGTCTACAGAGTTATTCTGATGCATAAAGAATCTGTGTATCTATCTACAGGATTTTGAATGTAAATTTTACAAACACGTTGACTTCCGTCTAGCATGGGTATGTGTTTAGTGTCTGTGTCTACCTGATGGCTGTGCAATGCTTTTTCAGGATGAAATAGACTGTCTGCAGAAAGAGGTAGATGAACTTAAGAGTAAAAATCTCAGCTTGGAATCACAGATCAAGACTATCCTGGATCCTTTAACCTTGATGCAGGGCAACCAAAATGAAGATAAACTTCCAGTTGCAGATAATCCAAGTAAAATTGACCCAGAAACTGTAGCAGAGTGGAAGAAAAAGCTTAGAACAGCTAACGAAATCTATGAAAAAGTGAAAGATGATGTGGATAAGCTAAAAGAGGTAAGTTGTGTTTAAAATTCTGTAGTATTTTAAGTACCTTCAAAAGAATAAGTAGCCATACTATTTTGAGTCATCCTTTAGATGATTTGGGGAGAAGGGACAAATCCCTGGATGAGCATTTATAAGCAATAAGAAAACTTTTTCTCCTAAAATCTTAAATAGCTGCCAAGAAATATCAGGTGGTCCCATTTGTGACTATAATTGGAGACTTTGTAGTGCCTCTGTATGAATTTACATCTTCTTGTGGAAGAACGACATCAGTTTAAAGGTTGTGTTTTTGTTTCCCCTCTTTGTGATTTGGCTTCCTTTTTTTAAAAAGCTTATGTCAGTAACTGCCATGTATGCATAAAGACAGACCTGTCCGTTTCCCTACCTATAAAATGAAAGGTTTGGACCATCTTTTTTCTAGCACTCCCTTTCTCTGATGTTTTAATATTGTAAATAGTTAAGGACTTACTAATTCCAAGAGAACTGTGAGTGATGGCTTTAGACTACTCCATGTAAAAGAATATTGTGGCTGAGAGGCAGTTTAATTTTTTCAGTTATTCTTCATCCAGGCAAGAAGATGGAGAAAGCATAGGTGAAAAGGGCAAACCTCTAGGATTTTCCAGTCTAGGAAAGGAGATGAATTCCATGGCATCAGCGTTAGAGGTAATGAAGTGATGAAGAGCTGTACTGGCCAGAGGGACTAGCCTTTTTGTCTTGGCTTCAGGTTTATCCACAGTGGAGGCCTCTTGCACTGAACAGAGATGGGTTTGTGGTATCCAGGTTCACAGCCCCCTATTCAGCCTGCCCGCATTCTCTTAAAATACTTTGCTGAACCACTGCATTGCACCTCCTGAAATCATTAATGCTCGACATGATGTTTTAGAGGTGTGCTGCCACATCCCCGCTCTCTGGTCCTCAGTGAGATTAAGAAGCAGAGAATTATCTACAACTTAGTGTGAATATTCTAAGTCAAATTGCATACCCACATATAAAATAAATGCCATTTGGGCTCAGAGAAGGTCAAGATGAGAGAAAGTTGGGAACATAGTGCTTTCAGAGAAAAAAGAAACTGTGGATGTAATTGCGCTGAGTTTGCTACAAGTCTAGGGGAAGCGTATTGTTCTCTGGTTTATAGTGGCCTCCATTTCTGTGTGTGTTTGAGAAGGGAAGAGGACATGAAAAGGAAAGCTAGCTGAGAAGTCACAGTGTTATCAATCAGCCGTGTCCTCATCAACTTTCCTTCTTGAGCTATCAGTAATTTCTGTATGGCCTCTTATATTATTCAATTTCACTAAAATATTTGGCAATAAATGCTTCTTAGAGCATGAAGATATGTATGAAAACTCTACTCTGAGCTTATAAGAGTGGTATAAGGAAAAAAAAAGAGTGGTATAAGGGATGTATGTAAAAGAAAAATACATAAGATAAGATCATGTGTTAAATTTGATACCAAAAGCTACCTTGAGACCTCACAATTATTTGGGATACTTGAAAAGCCCATTTTGGATACCTAGTGGAGGAATTAGGTAGAACTAGGCAATACACTGGAACATAAACTAAAAAAACATGGACTACAGAGGCAAAACTAAAGTACAAAATAATAGCATACTATAAAACAAATATAGGAATATAGGAATTCTGAAGATTCAGAATAAAGGACTACCTAGATTGAGTGAAATGAACTTTTTCCCTCATGTTTCCAAGACAGTGAGTTTTGAACCACTATGAAGCCAATGTTGAGATTGCAAAGTATAATAGTTAGCTGAAGTCTTTATTACTCTTTTAGGTGCAACAAATAGGCAGAACTCTCCCCTTTGTAACTTTACCCATCCAGTTCTCCTGAACTTGAAAATATCTCTGATAATTGAGGGTTAGCCAGCCTATAAAGAGCATCTAGAAAGCTTCAGGACTGGTGAGAGACCTTGTCAAGGGGGATAGGGAAAAGAAATCAAATGAGGTTCTAATTTAAGCTTGTCATTCATCATCAAAAAGCATTCACTAAGTGCCTCCTCTTACAGTGCTACGCTTGAGGGCTTAATTCATTGTGTGTGTGTGTGTGTGTGTGTGTGTGTGTGTGTGTGTATGAGGAAGTATATTACCTTTCCTGTGTCTTCAGAGGGGCAGTAATGGTGTTTATCAGTCACTTAAAGAATTAACTCTCCACACTCCTGGTTGGTTTGCATCCATGAAGATAAGCAGGTACTCAGAATCCAAAAGGAACCTGGATACATTTCAGAGAGTTAAGCTTGGTATTCAAAAGAGTGTCCTCTGTCCTGCTTCTCTTGTCACCCTCTTGGGGCATTTGTGTGTGGATGGGCAAGTAACATAGTCAAAAATTCTAGAAATTATTGGTCAGATTTTTTAAATCTGTTTTCAGATTTCCTTAGTTTAAACCTTTTTGTTGACAGTTGTTCTGACACATTGAATGTTAATAGTGAGACAATGAATTTCTCTTGCTAGGTTAGTGAGATTGTTTCCTAGCCTAGGGAGTCTTATTTTTTGTTGGAATTCAGAAACACAATGACTAGCAGATTTAAAAGAAGTCACTTTTAAGAAGATTCTACAATAGACACTCTACTTTTGGGGCTGCCCAGGATCAATATTGAGCCTCTAGATTTTCTAGCAATAAATATTTTGTCAGGCAGTTTTTAGGTATCATGCAACTCAAAAAAGGAAATCATACTTGGGATTAAAAAAAAAAAATCAAAAGAGAATCCATACAATTTATTAGAAAATATTGATCCAAGAAGTTGTGAGCCAGAGCATTTGGGAAAGCCATTTTGAAGAAAATAGGCAAGTAGTTTAACAATATTAGATATGTTATCACTAAAAACTTTTTAAATAGCAACCAAAAATCAGTCTCATAGTGCAAGATACTTAACCATTAGTTTTGTGAATAATTGCTTATGGTATATTGTTACCATGCTTAGAGTATTCAGTTATGTGAAAAAGGAAAAAAAAAAATGTCGTTAGTTTAGTCCCATAACAACTCTAAGCTAACTAACATAGCTCTGTTTATTTCCCTGGATAGAAGATTTGCAAAGTGCTTGGGGAATTTGGATTAAAAATGTGTGATCATGTTCAGTTTCCCAAGTCATTCCCAATGGTGATTTTAAGTTTCTAAAGACATGCTCTTAGTATTCAGTTTTCTCATACTGTTGCTCTAAAAAATACAGATGGCTCATGTCATAATTTTTACACATTTGTTTTTAACCTGTGCTTAATTATTTTCAACACTTTTTTTTTTAAGGCAAATAAAAAATTGAAATTGGAAAATAGTGGCCTGGTGAGGGAGAATTTACGACTGAAAGCTGAAGTTGATAACAGATCACCTCAGAAGTATGTATTTTGCTCAAAGAGCAATGTTTCAGGTTATGTCAATGTTTTAGAATAAGCTGCTGTTACATTATGTTTTTCACTGGATTCTTTGTTGAAACATGTAAGTTTAAATAGAATGTCTTACTTGTAAATGTCAAGTGTATATTTAGGTTATTGGTAAAATCTTAGTGAGGGGTTAACGCTAGTGTCAGAAGAAAGGATTTCCTTCTTATCCTTTTCCTTTACCTAATTACCAAGAGGTTTGTTTTAGGTGACCTAAGACTGGTGAGCTTCCACTTGGTTTTACATATAACTGTTTAATGTTCCTAACAAAGAGTAGGGAGACTAACATGATGCCTTTTGGATATTTTTTGAAATAATCTTAATGATAGTTAAAATTCATCCATTGTTTTGTGTTTACCAGGTACAACAATCTGTGATATAGAACTACTACTATTCTCCATTTACAGATGATTAAATGGAGGTATAGAGATCAAATTAATATTTCTAAATCTTCACAGCTAGTAAGTGGTGGAAATAGGATTCAAACCCAGGTAGTCTAGCCCCAGAGCTGTGATCTGTTACATTACACTGAAAGCTGTTACACTACTCATCACTCTAAAAAGCCTATCTGAAAGAGAATTTAAGGCTTCATTTGTTGAATTTTGTACTGATTTGAACTGTACAATTAAATGAATTCTTTTATAATGGGGATATTTTCACTCCATTCCAAAAGATACGAGATTGCAACATATTGAACAGTTAGTTTAAAATGCTAAGAAACAGTTGAGAATTAAGACTTGAAGATTAAGAAAACATGAGAGAGAGCACTTGAGGTTGTTACTCTTCTAGGGGAAAAAAAAAAAGACAAGTGAAAAGAAAATGTGGCCCCCACCCCTCTGAGGAGTGGCATATCAGAACTCCACACTTTCTTCCTGTCCAGCCATTTTCTCCTTGTGGAAAAAGACAAGAAAGGCATAAACAAACAATGGAAATTTATCCTACCAGAGGTAGTTCTCTGCTTGTCATTTGAAAAGGAGAAAATATTGCCCTCAGTAAAACCAACTGTGGTGTCAGGAAATGGTAGAAGTAAACCATAATTCCTCAAAGCAGAGATAACTAGCCAATAGAGAAAGAAGCATAGCTTTTACTTTTAAATAGTTCCTTCCCCTGTGCTCTCCAGCCTCATTTTTCTTTTCACTTCAGATAATGTCCTACTTTGATGAATTAGTGAAATAAGTTTAGGAAGTGTTGCCATTAATATATGGTGGTTTGAATCTCTGCTCTTCTTATTTATTGGCAGCTCGCCTTGCCAGTCATAATAATGTTTGTCCATTAGCCATTTCCCACAGCAGGCTGAATGGAACTAAAGCCATTTTGTTCGTAGCTTTTATTTCTTGAAAAGTTGCCCACCAGATTTCAGATTTAGCACTAGCCACCAGGATGTTTTGTTTTTAAATATCCTTGATTCCTACCTGATAAACAACTGAAGAATCTCACCTAAAGAAACCTCACCTCTGTCAGTTCTCACAAGCAGTTACACTTCTGAATCTCATATAACTTTGGGATTCGCTGTTTTAGCTTCCATTGCTTCCCTTCAGGGGAAGGGAACAGGTTCACTTAAAAAACGATTTGAACTGACCCCTGTTCCAGATCAATTTGCAATGCATTGAGGTATTAGAAGCATGGCATTTGATTTATAGCCTTGTTTACCTCTGCATCACCAAACCCTAGTGGGAGTCAGAGAGAAGCTGACCACAGCTGAAAATATCCAGATCTGGTTCACTTGAGGAACACTCTTATTTGTATTGAAAACAATATGAAATTTCGAGAGTTTAAAAGTAAATGCAAGCAAACAGAAGCCATCCATTCCATTTCATTTCCTTGATTAGGCAGTGCCTTGACCAATTACTTTTCTCCTCTACTTGGTTAGTTGTCAAGGTGTACTTTTTATATACGTGGCCTGAGTGTCTAATGTAGCTTTCAGGTTGTTCAGACATACTCTATGAATCAGGCAGAAGAGAGAGCTTTTAGATACTAGAGAGGGAAAAAAATTAGGAAGGTGTATTTGTTAGCTGGGCTGCCATAACAAATACTATAGACAGGGTGGCTTAAACATTGGATATTTATTTGCTTATAGTTCTGGAAGCTAGAAATCCCAGGTCAAGGTTCAGCAGTTTGGGTTTCTGACAAGGGGTCTCTTTTTGACTTGCAGTCAGCCACCTTCTCACTATGTCTTTGCACGTCAGAGAGAGAGTGTGTACTCTGGTCTCTCTTCTTATGAGGACACTAGTCCTGTTGGATTAAGGCCTCCTGTCTATGGTCTCATTTAACTTTAATTACCTCCTAAAGACCCTGTCTCTAAATATAGTCATACTGAGGGTTAGGGCTTCAAAAATGAATTTGGTGGGGGAGTGGGGGAAGAATGGGAACACAATTCAGTCCATAGCAGAAGGTATTTCTTTTAAGGACTTGCGTGTGTGCTCTGTTGCTTAGTTGTGTCCAATTCTCTGCGACCCCATGAACTGTAGCCCACCAGGCTCCTCTGTCCATGGGGATTCTCAGGCAAGAATACTGGAGCAGGTTGCCATTTCCTCCTACAGGGGATCTTCCTGACCCAGGGATCGAACCTGCATCTCCATGTCTCCTGCATTGGCAGACAGGTTCTTTATCACTATGCCACCTGAGAAGCCCCCCTTTTAGCACAGTCGAGCAAATATCATGCTGTTGCCCCAAAACTAGACTACAATCCAGTGTGAACAAAGGGGACTTAGACATTTACATTGATTTCAAGTAAATAGTATTGTATAAAAGTAATGTATTTTATAATTTTTAAAAACAGTGGTATAATCTTTAAAATGAAATCTGGATTATCATTTATCTCAGCTGCTATTGTTTTTCTAGTCTAACTTTTACCCTCCATTATATTCAATCTCAATGTGTACCTGGATATTTTTCCTTTTTCAACTTTAGCTTGGAAACCCTTTTGTGCAGTGTGGCAGCTATCGCACTAAGCATACTCTTCTGGATTTCAATAATATCCATTCTGTTCTTTGTCAAAACTTCATTGTCCTGATAGCTAAACTGGTGGTCCAGAAAAATGCAGTTTTTTTCCTTGACTTGATGTAGCCACTTCCTGAGTTAGTCTCTCTCTTCTAATTTGTTTTACCTGAATAAAACCATCTGCCTGCCCTTTCGGTTTTCTCTAACATGGACTTCTAAGACTTATTTGATATTCAGAACTCAAGAGGTGGTGATAGTGTCCTTTAGTTTGCAAGACTGGTATATGAAGAAAAACCATTCTTCCAACCAGCCCAGAAATACTGAACATGTATTTACTTGACAGTATCCTAGATGCTTTGAACTGTGCAAAATACTGTTTCTGTACTTTCCCTTTTTAACACATAATCACAATTACTAATAATTAGTGTTTTGTGTATTTATTTCAATGAATATTAAAGTTTTGTGTAATTATTCCAGTGAATTCAACCAGTGAATTCAGAATACTCATTTGAAGGACTGAAGCTGAAGCTCTAATACTTTGGCCATCTGATATGAAGAGCCGACTCATTAGAAAAGACCCTGATGCTGGGAAAGATCTGAGGGCAGGAGGAGAAGGGGGTGACAGAGGATGAGATGGTTAGATAGCATCCCCAACTCAATGGACAGGAATCTGAGCAAACTCAAGGAGATAGTAAAGGATGGGGAAGCCTGGAATGCTGCAGTCCATCGGGTCGCAAAGAGTCAGACATGACTTAGTGACTGAACAACAACAACTATTACATATTTTTCTGAGTGAGGACTATAGTTTTATTCACTATTATAGCCATGCATTTTATAGAGTTCTGCTCCTAGTACATATATCTGTTGAGTAAATGAATAAAAACGTAGCTCCTGAGAGAATTCCCCTTCCATTTTGCCAAAGATTTAATGAAGAAATTGAGTAATTTTTCCTGTTCCTCTTCTCCATCTCCCATTTAATGGGGGATCCCAAGAGTGTCACACCTCCACATAGTAAGAAACAAAAATAAGAAGCTGAAGGAAGGTAGAACTGCGTTTCTCCTATTCCTAAACTGTGCCTAGAAGTGTGGATATATTTGTCCTTGATAGAGTTAGGAGTTCCTTAGTGATTTTTTAGCTTCAAATGTTATGAAGCTTATTAATGACTTGTAAAGCATTTGAAAGTATGATGCCCTCTCTCCAAGGTCACTCTGTTCACTTGTGCCATTCTTTTTGCTCTAGTCTCACTGGGCAGAGTTTGTGCCATGTTGCCACCTATTTTGAGGCTTAAACAAAGCAGCTGGCTTACGCCCTTAGCTTCTAACTTATGTTAATAGTGTAGGGTATGAAATATACATGTACATATACAAAATTTTGTATACATAGAATTCCATAGGTCATTTAAATCAAACTTGGTTATAATTGGATTAATAATGGCTTTCCTTTCTATAAGTATGTATTCGGTAATGTTATTGTATCTTTAGTGAGATCTGTGGGTTTGATAGTGTTTCCCTGCAAGCATCATTTTTACTGCCCAGCAACCCTAAGACTTATCATTATGGATCCATTTTTACCCATGCCTCAGCAACTTCTGGAGGAAGATGAATGCTCCAGATACTCCTGGGTGGTGATCAGTATTCTATTAGGACATGAAAAGAAGTGTTCTGAGTAGGACAGAATAGACTTCATAAATCATAAGCTGTATGTTCTTCCCCTCTTGCTGTGTTTGTGTTCCTTGAGCCATCGCATCAGCTCCCATGGCTTTAATAATCATTTTCTTAATATGTCAGCGATTGCAAAATAAAATCTAAATCATTGGCCTTGCCTTTTCTCCTAAACTGTAGATTCATGTTTCCATCTGTCTATTTTATACTTTCACTCAAGATCCTATACCTTAAATTCACTGCGAAGCACAAGAGTTAAATAAATGCCTAATTCTGGAGATAGACTACCTGGTTTCAAGTTTCCCTTCTTCCACTCTCTCCTTCCCCTACCCAGTTCAATTTTCACTATACTCAAAA